TAGTCAAAATCGTTTTTGACTAAACGAGTCTGATGCTGATGTTTCCATATAAATTAAATGAGCTGACGCACACTAATTAGTCATGTGTCTAAAGCATGTTTAGGCTCATTTAGTTTCAGTCAGTCTGTTTGATGTTGATTACCAGATCGTCGTTTTGTGTCGAAACATTTCATTGTACGCAGGCGCATCGTGTTTTTGGAATTCCCTTCTTGAAACCGCTCGAGTAGTCAACAAGAAGCATATGTAGAAACAGAGATATTTTGCTTGTTTATATTGTGTGTATCATGGATGTGGACGCAAAAAAATTAATTGTACTGATTGAGGCCAGACCTCCTTTATATAACTATCAATTAAAAGACCCTTAATTGTTGAAGCAAAGATTGGAGAGTTTTTTTAGCAGTTCTTTTCTCATTTATAGGATACACCCAAAATTGTCTTTTATTTTGCATTTTTTCGTCTTTTAGGAGGAACCACTGCCAGAAACTAGTGTAATTTCGTCGTTATCTGTCGAAATATTTAATAAAACTGATTGCAGTATGGTTTGTGCAAACATTTTGTTTTTCTTGAAAACAAAATGTTTCTTGTGAAAACAAAAACGTTTTCGTTTCAAACAAAAACGTTTTTGACTAAAACAGTTTTGCTCTTTCTGTGTGCGGCCACCCTTACAGTCACGGCAAAAGCCGATTCGTTAACAAGAGCTGTTAAACTTTTTTTTGGCGTATTCACGTGAACACATGGCACCACACCATGTCCTTTTCATCTACCTTCCAAGGTCAAATCTATATTAATGAACATTTCAGACTGTTGAAGCTACGAAGAAAAAACGGAATTTGGCACTCCGAGAGTGACCTAACTGGGAAGCATAACTTTCTTATCGTCTACGCATTGAACGATGGTTTTTAATTTAATTTATTTAATTCCAATTAAGAGACACGCGTGAGACTGCGTTTACTACTCCACGTAGTGTGTGGTCACGCGATCTGTCGTTACATTGCGTTTTTTTTTGTTTTTTTTTTCACACCTCTGCGTGATCCATTGCACCGATCAATGCATTCCGTCCGTGGTCCGCGATAAGAAACCTATGCTTCCAAAAAAAACGTGGCATGTTCTATTAAGGAGCTTATTTGTTTCAAATATTGGAAAATTCACACGTAGAGAGAAATATAATGAGTTATATTGAAGAAAATAATAATTAAATATAAGCAGCTCAGATCCAAAGTGGTATAGGTCAAAAGATTACAATTTGAGTTACAACACTTTCCCACTTTATTGGATTGATAACAATAATTTCATAAAGTAATTTAAGTCTAGTTCTTAACTGGTAGAGATCTGCCAGATGTTTTAACAGAAACAGAATCTATGTTTTTTCAAGCGGAAGAGTGCTACAAGTCTACGTGTATGTGATTTTTGTTTCATTGCCAGTTATGCATCAGTAAGTGGTATAAGTAACCAATGTAGATGCTTCAAACGAATACATATGCTTTGCATCTATATTCCACGATTATCTAAAAAATATATCTAAAAGCCACAATTTTATTTTCCCATTCAAACTATTATATTATACTTCTTTGAATTAACGTCACTAAAATCGTGACAATCTTGACGTTTATTTACTTTTTTCACAGAATACACCACCCACAAAGGAGCGAAACGAAGGGCTTTTTCACAATCCAAATTTCTTTGCGCATGTGAGAATCCGCTATGTTTTAAATAGTTTATCTGTCAACCTACAAAAACTGAAGTTTGTTTACAATTTATTATTTGTAAAATTTTCGTGTTGAGAAGTTTTGTTGAATAGTAAAAAAAGAATAATACTATTATACATGTTTTTGTATTAAACTCATTGTGATGACTAAACGCAAAGGAGGATTTTCTTATGTTGTTCGTGGATTCCCGTCTAAATCTGGTGAAGAAATAAGTCTCTTTTCAATACCTAGCGTACGTAGAAGGTAAACAAATTAAATTTGAAATTCAAACGTGTTACAAAAGTTATCTGAACATTTATATTTACTTTACAAGCATGTGAATGAATGGCATAAAAATTATAAAATGTGCGAGTAACATTTTTAACCACAATCCAAGTTACAAAGAAAACGAAAGAAAGAGACATTATTTATGGAAGCACATCCTATATTCTCGCACAGCCAACATTGATAATGCACAGACGAACCATTAAAGAAAGTCATTAGACTCAAAGGTAGGTACAGTTGATTTATCCACAATTATAGTGCTCCATTATAAAAGTCATATAAAAATCAGTATCTACTTATAAGTTATTTGTTGTTTTTCATTATATAAACAGGATCTGGAATTGTACAATTTAATGATCTTTTATCAGCTACACCGCGTACACTGCGTACACCCTTTTGTAAGAACATATCTTATGTTTACATACTGAGTAATATTTATGTTGTGGTTTTAGGTACAACTGAAATAGATGTTATGCAGCCAATTGCTATTGACAATAAAACTGATGCTAAACATAGTCCTGATACTTTGCTGGAAGAGTTTCTGGAACAGATAATTTTATTTATTGCTCCTACAACTGTAGTATGCATTCAACTAATCACTAATAAGCATTAACATATCTACTTTAAATGTTTGTATGTTATTTGATCATTAAATATACTCCACATACACATGATACTATAACAAAACAAGGTAAGTCAACGCGCATGTTCTTGTGACTTAAGCCCGAGACAACTTTAATGTTAATTATGTTGCTGTGTTAATCGAGTTTGCTATCCTGTCTATTTCAAAACGTAGTGAATGATATTTTTATTTATTCATTGATGTAGTAAAGACTTTGTATATTATATTGTTATATAAATTTGATGGTGAAAAGACTCAGTTCATTTAATAAAATCCCCAGCGCTAAAACATCGCCTGAAAATAGACCCCAAAAAAGAATGGAGGAAAAGAAATGTATTAAAAAACATGTATTTTGGTTTTAGACACACTTTAACAGCAGAGCAAATGTTTCTATAGACAGTAATAAATGTCTCTATAGATAATAATATATACTAATGCCCATTTTAATAGAACTTGAAGTAATACTTTATTTTTAATAGGTATAGTATAATTAAAAAAAGTTACTTTGTATGTATGTAGTGTGTAGTGAACTGGAACATATTTTTCGTAGTAATAATGGCGACACATTAAAAATAACAAAAAATTATTTAAAAAAACTTAGAAGCTGCAAAATATGTAAATGTTAGCGAAGATCGTAAAATTACTTTTTTTAGATGTAAAATGTATTTTAAAATACGAATTCTAAATCAAAATATTAAAGATAATTACAATATCCCCAGAAGAAAAATCACAAAGATTGTAAAATAAATGTCTAAATGATATTCATAAAGTCTCAAGTATGATCCGCTTTTCCTTTATGGTCAAATTCTTTACATTTTGCCGGCCTTTTATATTTAATTTATGTTTTGTAGCAATATTTATTTTGTTTGTAATACACACAATCAAATCGTAGATTCATATATTTCTTTAATTAATTTTACAAATTACTTATTAATTTTCAAAACACGTTTTCACAGAAACTAACTAGTTATGACTTCTTAGTGCATCGAGGTATACTTACCGTTAACAGTTTAAGCTTCGAAGTTGTTCATTGCAGTAATGGAACAACGTTGCCATATGATGCATCGTTAAAATATGATACATACAAGTCCTCTGGCTTTGTCTCGCTATGACGTCATTGCGCAAAGTCGATTAAAATTAGAACGGCAAGTGAGCAGATCTTGTTGTTATAGTATCATGCTCCAGAGATATGTTGGTTACATAGGCCCAAATTATAAAGTTGTCTACCGGAGAATTTAATACAAATTAAAACTTATAAACATAGATAATATAACTATGAAACTAAACAATGGAATGGAAACAAAACAACATAAGTCTATGAAGAACTGATTAATTGATAGTAGTAATAATTAAAAAATATCTAAATAGACTTTTATTACCAACTACAACATTTCTTTAATTTATTGACACATTTATGTTACATGCTACATTAAAATGAATATATTTATGTAACTGCGCATATGTAATTGTTTATATTTATACATTTGTTAAGTATTTCTTTGTTTTGTATATAAATTTTATAGTCTCACGGAAAATGGGTGCTACTTTTATGGTAGCTCTACTTCAGTGAGTTTTTATGTTTATTTAGTATTCAGTATGCTTATTTCTTGTAAATCTATATTATAAGTAAGCTTCCTAAATAACAATTATTAGTTAATTACAATAAAGTTCTATTATTATTGTGTTTTATTACAACTTTTTACCTTTCCCTACCATAAATGTGATATATCCAGGCGAATTGAATTTAGTGAATTCTGACATATAATATAATAATTATAAGTTTATTATTACCTTAAAAAAAATAAAAATAATACAAATCAACGGATTTTTATCTCTATTTTGAAATTAAATCGCTTTTTATCGGTTTTTAAACGTACTTAAATACTTTTAGCACGTTAATTTGTTTGTTAAAAAAAAACAAACTGTGTTTCTCAGTGTAACTATAATTTTACTACTGTTTTGAACGACTTACTTATTACTTTTCTTAGTGTACTAAGTAGTGCAACTGTCATTCTCCCTCCGAAATTTCTGTCCTACCAACATCAAAGGTACCGACAAAGCTTTCGCTTCTTGTTGGGTGGTGTATTCTGTGCTGTAATACACGTGTCCATTTGTAGGTTGGGGTTAATGTGTTAATATAAATAAATTTTATAACAATCAAGATCAGATTTTTGCCAACACTTTTTAAAAATGAATTAAGTATGACTTATACTGGTTCTGAGCGGCTCATATGTATAAATGAAATATGACTGAAGATAAATATAAAAATAAAATGTTTTAAAATACTATTTAGGTAGTTTACAACTACACCGCGTATACCGGAAAACATTTGTAAAATTTGGTCATCTATAAAAACAATTAAATTCTATAAATTAATTTCCCAGACGCAATAAATAAAACAATAGGCTAAGTAATTGAGCATATCTCCTTAGCACATTTTATTCTTACGCTGATATTCATTACTAAAGAAATTTGTAATAATAATCTTACAAACTTTCAACATAAAAATAAGTACATGACACATAATTCAAACTAAAAACTAAATCATAAATTAGTGCCACAATCTCTCTAATCATTATCAGATCAATTTTTAGTCTTTAGTAAAATAAATAAATTTATCTTGTATCAATATAACTCCATTTACCTATTGACAGCCCGATCTTTAACTTCGATCAGGAATAGCTGTATTTCTAGGTTTGGTGCCGGTAGTCGCAGCCCCTAATGCTGTATGGACGACTATAGCCGGTTGTCCCGGAGACGAGGGATGCAACTCGTGAGTGGCACCAGGAGTAAGGGTGGCTAGAGCAGCCAATAAGTCGTGGTTGATAATAGGTTCTCCTTCGGGACGGGGCTCCCAATCCAACGGCGGGGATGCAGGAGGTGAAATTAGGAACTGTTTATACGGGGCTGGTGGTTGCAAATTCGGATTTTTCACCGGTGTGACTGGCTGAGCAAAATAACAGGTTATTACTGACTCGTTGATCTTGTACTGGTGAAGTTCAATTCTCGCACTAGCAGCTGCATACGGAGTTTTGAAATTCACCCGTAATCTTCGGAAACTACGCAACCATTGGAAGGTTACATCTGGGTCGTACTTTTTAAATAACTCTTCTAAATCACGCTTTTTGTCTAAAACAATTAATGGAAAGTTAATAAAACTCATCAGACTTACAGATGACATAGAAACTGATAATTTTCATTAGAAAATGAGTTGAATAGTTGCCTATAAGCAACAGTGCCGTACAATACTGTTTACTATGTAGATTGAAAGCAACATTGCTCTTTATGACACACCTTTTTTATAAATTGAAAAATAATACTTCTACAATATTGCTAATTCATTTTTTTAAGGAGGTATGTTCATGCCGCAGTTAAAATTAGTGGCATTCAAATAAACTAACGTATAACAATTCTTTGAGTAGATGGCAGCACATGCATCATATTCTAATATTTTGATTTTCCCGAAATTTAATTCTCTGAACAGCGACATTGTTGCCAACGAGGCCAAGTACTTGGACTTATAATATATAGTCCAGGCTGTGAGGCCGCTCCCGTTGGGAAAATGTTTCTGATTCGGTTTCTTCGCGGATTCCGGTTCAAAAATGTCCCCTTTAAACAAATCTGAAGGGTGCGGGCGAAATTTTTAAGTAGAAATTGTTTAAACAATTTTTTTAAACAAAGTCCAAAAATATTTTTTTTTTAATCTGGAAAACGTTTTTTTTAGGTTTTTTGGGCCATTTTAAACAAAAAAGTCTCTTGTCAATTTTTCTCTAAAGTTGAAAGTTTTTGAGTTATAAGCGATTTAAAGTCTGAAAAACGCGAAAATACGCATTTTTGAGGCTGAAAACACATATGTAAATTATTATTTTTGAGGTTACCAAGTGTCTAAATTAAAGTTTAAACATTCAACTTCAAGATTGTGAAGAGTAATCGGGGCTTATTTTAATTTAGACCGTTCTTTTTTAATTGTTAAGTATGCGCGTACACTCGATTTTTCACGCCGCGCGCCGCCGCTCCGGCGCTCTGTATGATGTTTATATTTACAAATTATTATTTATTTATTATTTCATGTATAATATTTGTAAGATATGTAATAAATATAATGTTAATAATGTTCTTTTAATAATACCACATAATGGTACACAGTGAATGATTTTGCAGTTGATTTGCAATTTTTGTTTTTTCACCACACATCCTTATACATTTGAATCGGTTGAGGAAAATGTTGTAAAGTGGTCAGGTACAAGTTGTGATTAATTAAATTTTTCAGTCCTTCTTTTGTGAGGAGTTTGTATGTTATGTAAAATTATTAGGTTTTTGCTACTTAATTTGATGTTTTAAAAAAAACTAATTTTCGTAAGTTTAGAGTACGGAAAGACTTTTAAATCATTCACTTTTTAAATATAAATAATACCCTTTATGGGATTAAACAAGTCTCTAATGTCGTTAATCAAGTAGAGGCGATTTTAAAAATGCATTGGTAGATTGTTTTATACACCGCGCAATTTAAAATTAAGTTTACTAATATTAATATTTACTGCATTGTATTATTTAAATAATAATTTAAAAATATTATTTACAATTGATATAAATAAATATATACTCAATAAATAATAATTATATTGTTCAAATTGGAAGAAAAAAAAAACTATATACGGTTATTACATTGCTATGATTGATTTATTTAATTAGCCCAATGACAATAATTAATACCTACATAAATAAATTATGGAAAAAACTATGTTAAATAAACTTCAAGGATTTGTTCGGGTTTTTTTGCGTAAGTGTATATGTAAAACTATGCATAAATACGATAGAAGCGCAAACAAAAAAGACCTTTTTGTTTAAAATGACCCAAAAAACCTAAAAAAAACGTTTTCAGATAAAAAAAAATTATTTTTTGGAATTTGTTTAAAAAAATTGTTTAAACAATTTCTGCCCAAAAATTTCGCCCGGCACCCTTCAGATTTGTTTAAAGGGGACTATTTTGAACCGGAATCCGCGAAGAAACCGAATCAGAAACATTTTCCCAACGGAGAGCGGCCTCACAGCCTGACTAATAATATATGATCGGCATCGGGATCGGGATGTAAGTTGAAATTATCTATTATTTGCAGTTTCACAAATTCTAATTTTTGGATTGGATCATTCGATATATTTTTTTAATTTTTGTATCGTGTTGTGTTGTTGTTCATTTACCTTCGAAGTTAAGTTGCTGTTTTGATTTTGAGTGTTTTTTTTTAGTTTTATAAACATTTTGAATAGTGTATATCAGTCCTGTTTCCTAATTACATTAAAAAATGATATTTCATGTACAAAAAATTACTTATAATAAAAATATACACCTGTAAACCTCATAATTTATTAACCCAGCAGCGGACGCTAAGGGCTGATCAGTTCTTTGTAATTTTACATCTTTATTGGCAACAAGGCTATTGAATTTATATTAATTTTCAGCCGGTAAACCAAACCTTCCGTGGCTAAACCAATTTTTTGTTGATTTTGAACTTCACTCTGTAAAAAGCTCATTAGCCCACTCACTCAATCTTGTTTCTTAAGTTGTAACTTATGCAGTTTCTCCGATATTTTCCATGGACACGGAAACATAAGATGCCATAGTCGTATCATATCTTCTGGCAAACATGACTCAATAAGAGGATACAATATCGCCGCAATTCAATCATATCATAAAGAGCAGAAATATTACAAGGACTACTAGAAACTCGACTCAAAATTAACTTTAAGAGCTCTATAATGTACGCTAATTTTCTGCCAGGGTCGCGTGTCTAACGGTTCAGCTAACAAACTGTCCAAAACAATAGCAATTTTCGTAAATGCACTATACGACGTAGGTACTGTTCTGCGTTTTCACAGAAATAATACGTTCTTCGTTTTCTGGGTGCGAAATAATACAAAATTAAATTTAAGTACGAAAAACTTACTTTTGTATTAAATTACACAAGTGTGGTTTTAATTTAATACAGTTTGCTTTGGTGGTACAAATTCGACTAACTGTATCTATGGAATTCTAATATTATTAATATGATACATGATACTACATTCCCAGATGAAAAAGTCGTAAAATTTAATTGCCTCACACCAGCACTCAGCTGGATGTGCTGATTAGGTAATTTTTTTAGGAAACATATTAAGTACACTTGAGTGCAAAACAATCGACTCAAGAACGATATTTGAGATTACACCTTCTGTTTTAATGTAAGAAGTATGAAAATAACAAGATGCAATGTGCAAACAGTAACATTATTATTGAACTTACAAAAACTGCTATTTCATTATTTGGAAGAGGCATTATAAAAACAATATGCAATACGAACAGAGTTTCTCAAATATTCATCATTGGAACTATCCCAAGAAAGACGTAATTAACAGAAAAATCATCAATTACAAAATGATTTTTTTTGTTTTTCAGAATCTGATATTACCACCCCTATTCCTAATTACACTTATCAATCGATTTCGCATGGATCGGATAACTTTTCTAATAAATTCTTGAGGCATTGTTTCCCATTCATCATTAAGCGCAACTCTCAATTCCATTATTCTCTTTGGTGCATGATTTCTGCTCCGGACCCTTCGTTTAAGCTCATCCCAAACATGCTCTATTGGATTTATGTCCGGACTCAACGCAGGCCAATTTAATTAGGGATACCGATCTCTGTCAGATAGGTGGTCGTGACTCGTGCGGTATGACATCGTGCATTATCATGCAATAAAATAAAGGCATTACCAATAAATCCCACGTATGGAACAACATGTTCCTCCAAAATATCTCTGATGTAACACTCCGCCGTTAAACCTCCTCCACGTTCTCCACCAGGCACAAAAACCAGCTCGGTTTTCCCATCCATGGAAATGCCTGCCCAAAACATACGAGAACCGCCGCCATATGACAGAATTTCTCGTATACAACATTGAACAAATGGTCCCCCTGGCCTTCTATAGACTCGACGCCTATTGTCGTTGCCATGTAGGCAGATCCTACTTTCGTCGAAGAATAATACCTGACTCCATTGATAGTCGTCCCAATCCAGATGTTCGCGAGCAAATTCTAGTCGTCTTTGCTTCTGGGTTGCAGTTAGCTTGGGACCAGGAGCTGCCCTTTTTGGTGTCAGGTTGGCTGCTTTTAGTCTCCTTCTGACTGGTAACCACACCTCGGACCTCTCTAAGCTCTTCTTTGAGATGATCACCAGTCAAATGTCGATTTCTCAGAGATTTAGATACAAGAAATCGATCATCTCTCTCTGTTGTTATTCGTTTACGACCTCCTCCTTGTCGGCGGACATAATCACCAGTATCTTGGTACCAAGGATACACTCGGGATACAGCAGATTTACTTAAATTTAGTCGATTTGCCACGGCTCTCTGGCTCAGGTCTTCTCTCAATAATGCTACTGCTTGAGCTGATTCGACGGATGTGGTATCCATTTGTTATGAAGTTGCGAACTGTATTGGTATTAGTGGGTTGATATGGAAATTGATGCTTACGATGTTAACGAAATGTGTTAAGTGGGTGCGTGTCGATTTCAATGGGACAAATTATGAGCCCCTCTCTACGTGTTGCATTATTTATTTGTAATACGTCACCCGATATACCAAAAATCAAAACTTTTTTAAACTCAATAATGAGGTTAATAATTGTACACTAAATATTTTTAAATTTGCACCTTTTTTTATTGAAACAGGAGACGTACTTTCGCAAAATAATTTTGAGTCAATTTTTTTGCACTCAAGTGTAGTTACTTGACATTTAATGTACTATACACAAAACGTTCATTCATTTGGAAATATTTTATTACTTATTTCAGGCGACAATTCTGAATTATTTACCTCCCCAAAAATATTTATTCCAAACTGATAAAGAAATTTGGAGTTGTTTGAAAACAGGTAAATAATGATCAAAAAATAGATTATGGTAATTGGACTATTTATGTATAAGAACAGTATTTATAAGAAATCTAAAATACGTTAGTAAGTTGAAAAACAGCGTCACTACAATAACAATTTTTTCATATCGAATGTCAACAGAGGAAGTTTTTTCCTTAGAAAATTTTAGATTTTCATCCCATTTCTAATTATGACTCAAGTAAATTTCAATAATCTTTTTCACTTAAGAAAATAATTAATCGAAAAAATTAATCGATCATTACATAATATTGTTTTGTCCATAAAAATTAAATTTGTTAAAAAGTGAATAAACTAGAATTGTTTTTATGTTTATGTATTATGTAAAAACCAGTATAATCCCGCAGTAAACTTTACTGACCACACTTTGACTTTCCACCACGATTATATAACGTCAGGGTGCCAAGGATAAAGATGGTAGGTATACTTAAATATTTAAGACATTGTGACGTTATACAATCATGATTGACATTGAAGGTCAAACGAAGCCAAAATATTAACTGGGAGGGGTCGCTTTGCTAAACAAAACCAGGTGATTCGTATTACCACGGTTACTGCATAACCCATAGATAATTGGCATAACCACAAAACTAGTTTTCAATGTTTTGCAGATTTTTCTTAAATAGGCAAACACGCATCTGTCACCATTTAATATATCACTGCTGCCTTCTACTAAATGACAGGTGAACTTATTCTCCCATCTATTAATTGATAGCCGAACTAATTTTTCACTATCACAATGCTAACTTATTAAGGTAACATCAACAAAATCCATAGTTTGCAGTTTTTAATTGTAATTTCATCTTTAGGTACAGTTAATTTAAAAATTACGGCAGTATTCATAACGAACATTTGCTTAAAATAGAGGTTTTTGGTAGTTAATCATTTAACGTAGTTATTTTGAACCTAAGTTCAAAAATTATTACACAATACCAAATTTTAGACAGGTTACCAATTAAGTTATGACATGGATTCATTTAAGTACAGTTATGAAAAAATTAGGTCTATAGCCCTATATAGTGGCTATATCGTTCGACTTTGAACAAAACCTACCATTACCGCATATAAGAACTAGCGACGTATTTTTTAAACGCCAACAGTGGTACTATGTATTTGGCATTCACGACATGGCGGATGATTCAGCATCAATGTACGTATATACTGAAGATATTGCAAAGAGAGGGTCGAACCATGTAACTTCTATACTTTTGCATTATCTTAATCAAGAAAGATCTATCTAAATCTATCTAATGATAATTTAGTTATCTTTAGTGATGGAGGTTCTGGTCAGAACCAAAAGCATGTTATGGTTTATTTACAATATATGCTAGTGCATTTTTTAAAGAGTTTTAAAAAAATAACCCACATATTTCCCATCAGCAGCCATTTCTTCCGTCCGAATGACCAGGACTTTGCCCTAATTGAGAGAAAAAAAGAGAATATGTAGTCCAGAAGTTCCAGAAGATTGGGATGAACTCATACGTCAATCAAGAGAAAAGCCATCTCCATTTAAGGTGGTCAATATGACTTAGGAAAATTTTTTCGTAATAAATACAGCATGTTCCCAATACTTTCTAAAGAGATCAAGCCAAGTTGGGGTCTCAGAGAAGCACGTATTATCAAGGTCCATGGTCACACTGTGCTCTTCGGAATAAGAGAGCATTGACCAATGCTATAGACTTAGATAAGTTATATGAGTGTCCGATTGTTATTAGTCCCGTGAAAATTCAGAATATTTTATCACTATCTGCATTTTTAAAAAACCCTAAAAGCGTTCCCGTTTATCAAAAATTTCGAGTCACTGAAACGGCACCAACTGTTAACGTTTATGAAGATGACGTTAAATATTTACAGCAAAACGTGTGATTTCTTTTAGTACTTCAGTTAAAAACAGCCAATGTCAAAGCGTTTTTCATTAGTTTTCAAAAAGTAAATACCCTTTTGGCAGCTAGTATATTAAATAATATTTGTTTGTATATATATATATATATATATATATATATATATATATATATATATATATATCCTAATTTATGTAAATTAGAAGAAAAAATATTGGCTTGAATATTATCAGTTTATTAAGTTTTTATTAATTTCAGAAAATTTACTTTTTTGACATTGGTTGTTTTTGAAATAATCCCTTCAATTGTAAGTCTTTTTTTTGTATTTTTTTACCTATGTATTTCATTGTATTTTTACAAAAGTAGATAATAAATAATCATATCTTACCTGGGGTGGTAAAAACTGAGTCATGTATATTTGTAACAATAAGAGACGATGGCAAGTCTTCGAATTCGTCATCAGAATGTTGTTCTGGGCTATCAATCTCAGCTTCATTTATTAGGTTGGGATGTACATTTGGAAGACCATCTTGATCATTAATAATAATATCTTCATCACTTAATTCTCCATTACTACTTTCCGCCATTCTCAAAGGTGGATTACGCTAGAACAAAATTAAGATTTGCAATATTTTAGTAGAAATGTTTACAAAATCTTGGATCTAGAGGCAAAATACAACAGGCGCGAAATTACGTACTTCTTATCTTATATTTTTCTTTTAAAAATCAGTCTACAAATATTAATATTTATATATTATCTAATTGCGTCTACAAAACAGTTAAATGCAAAAATAGTCTTGAATAATAGATAGCGGCTTATATTAAGATTTTTTTATTTAGAATTATTATAAAACACCTCTATTATAAAAGTATTTATACAAATACGACAAATACTTCAAACCAGAAACTCATATTAAAAAGAAATACAAATTCACAAATTACATAAATTTAGAATATATTTTATTACTGGGAAACAGTTTGGTTTAACAATAAACATAAAGAGAACAAAAACCATGGTTATCAGTAAGAGGGGAAAAGTCATTACAAGTATCCAGATAAAAAATGAAGATACTGAGCAAGTGGACAAAATGAAATATTTAGGCATTTGGATTACGGAAGATCTGAATCCGAAATTCCCTCAAGAATAGAGCAATCAAGAGCAGCCTTTTTGAAGATAAGGAAATTTCTGAGTAACCAAAGACTCAATCTGCAAATCCGATATCGGATGGTACAATGTTATATCCACTCTATTCTTTTTTATGGTGTCGAAGCCTGGACTGTCAATGTTGACTTAATGAGAAAACTGGAAGCTTTTGAGATGTGGCTTTTTAGGAGAATTTTGAAGATACCATGGACCAATGAATAGCTTTTTCAAAAAAAGTCCCCAAAGAAAATGGACCTTGGCAAGTCCAGATGGAGTCACCAAAAATAAAATTGATTTTGTGTTAACCAACAACAAAGACATGATCCATGATGTAACAGTTCTTAATAGCTGTTCAGTGGGAAGTGATCATAGAATGGTAAGAGCGAAGATCGTGCTAAATCTCCAAAAACAAAAATACAAAATAATAACAAAAACACACCCAATAGGATGGAATCCAATCGAAAACACCATGTCCTTCGAAGAGGAAATTCTGAGATGTCTAGAGACAACAAATATAGACGTTATGGATGTCGAAACCTTAAATGATAACTTAATAAAAGCTATTAAGAACGCAGAGAAAAAGTGCAATACAAATTGCAATGAGAGATAAGGAGGAAAAAATCAGTCAAGAAACAAAAAGACTTATGGAGGCACGAAGAGAACTTAAGCACGAACAAAAACGATAAGAATGCACGCGTACTACAACAACTTAATAAAGCAGTGAGAAAGGACTTACGACAATATAACATAAAAAAGATTACAACGGTTGTCGAGAAAAATAAAAGTTTAAAGGTGCTGAAGAGATGTCAAGTTCTAGGTAAGAAGAATATTGTTAAGCTCGCAGATCGAAATGGAAAAGTGGTAACAGATAAAGATAAGATAATTAAGGTAGTTGAAGAATTTTACACAGAATTATATAGAGAAAGGGGTAAGAAAGACGGCACCAAGTTGAGAAAAATCCAGAATGTGGGTTCAGAGGATATCCCAGACTTAACAATCGAAGAAGTCTCAAAGTCATTAAATCGAATAAAAAACATAAAAAACAATAAAGCAGCTGGTGATGACCAAATCGTTATTGAGGCAGTTAACGCAGGAGTAAAGACAGTATTGAAAGCATTGACAGAATTATATAACTTATGCCTTTCAAAAGAGGTTACACCATCTCAGTGGAATAAAGCTGTTATAGTAGTCGTGCACAAAAAGGGAGATATAACAGAGCTAAAGAACTATAGACCTATTAGCTTGTTATCTCACGTTTATAAGTTGTTTATGAAGATAATAACTAATAGGTTGACATCAAAACTAGACTTCCATCAACCTTGCGAGCAAGCAGGATTTAGAGCTGGATACGGAACAAATGATCATTTGCAAACCATTAAGTCGTTGATTGAAAAAACCATTGAATACAATAGACCCCTGATACTTGTATTTGTCGACTTTGAAAAAGCATTTGATACAGTCAATCAAAGTGAAATGCTCCAAGCTCTAACACAATGTAGAATCGATCACCGATATATATCTCTCATCAGATACATCTATCAACATGCTACAGCCTGTGTAAGACTTAATGAAGATACTGGGACTTTTCATATTAAAAGAGGCGTTCGGCAAGGAGACAACATGTCTCCTAAATTATTTACAACTCTGCTAGAATACGCTTGTAAAACAATAGATTGGAACGAAAAGGGCATCAATGAAGATGGAAAAATTTTAAATAACCTTAAATTTGTAGATTATATCGTTCTTATTGCAGACAGCTTTGATCAGGCACAGATAATGCTCCAAGAACTCCATACTGCCACAAAAATAGTTGGTCTTAAAATAAATTTTTCAAAAACACAATTTATGACAAATTTAGTCCACAACAAAAACATCTCAGTAGAAGACAAAGATATTGAGCCCGTTGACGCCTATAAATACCTGGGCCATGAGATCAGAATAAGTCGAGACAACCAAACAATCGAGCTGAAAAGAAGAATAAACCTCGCTTGGGCTGCATTTGGAAGGATGAAGGATATTTTTAGGTCTAAGATTCCAATGTGTCTGAAAAGAAAAGTATTTAATCAATGTATTTTGCCAGTGATGACCTACGGCGCAGAAACCCTAACGCTCACAAGAATAACAGTGAGTAAACTACAAGTTGCGGAAAGAGCAATGGAGAGAATTATGTTAGAGATTTCTCTACGTGATAGAATACCCAATGCTACTATACGCAAAAGATCAGGAGTAGCAGACGTTATTGAAAGGATAACAATACTAAAGTGGAACTGGGCAGGTCGTGTAACAAGATCAGGTCATGACCGGTGGACAAAAAAAATTTTGGAATGGAGACCCCGAATACAAGCTTACAGAAATAGAGGTCGACCCCGAACGAGATGGACAGATGACATAAAAAGAGTGACTACAAATTGGATTCAGATGGCGCAAAATTGGACTAAGTGGAAAAGCATGCGAGAGGCCTACGTTCAGCAGTGGACGTTAGAGGCTAGTTGATGATGATGATGGACCGATCATATTACGAACGAAATGAAAGAGGAATCTACTTTAACAGAAAAAATATTAATAATCCAGTCGTCAGAGATATGATCTCTAATGATCTCTAAAAATGAGACGAACAAGCTGAATTTTGCGATTACTGTGAAATTTCCATTGTTATAGTCTAATCTTCAAAACCTATAACATGAAAGTTCTATTTTGAGTTCCGGCAGCCTCATATTTGTTGTCAAAATCCAAAATTGCTCAAATCAAAATCGAAACTTCGTGCTACAGGTTTTGAAGGTTAGGCTCTAGCAATGGAAATTGGTAGAGCCTAACAACAAATGAACAAATGAACAACAAATGAAATCGACTTCATTTGCGGCAAAATTCAAAAATTGCATATGAAAAATGCACTCTTCTGTGCATAATAGATAAGGATTCTGGAGTATAATAAATAACTGTGAAGCATTTAAATTTATCTGGTATATGTATCCTGGTATATTTATTCCTGGTAAAAATAATCTGAATCTTTTCTGGTCTGTTTAAAATTTAAATTGATATTTCTTTTGATCTTGTTTCCGCTTAATATTGCGCGTCAAATAAAAAATATTCACATATGTTACTGAGAAAGTTACACGGGGAAGAGAATTATATCGCTCTACAATGGACCGCCAAAGCGTTTGGTTTTATTGTTTTAGTCCAGATTTTTTTTTAAATTCGTTATGATTTTTCATTACAGTAAACTCGCGATTATTCGAGTCTAGGTTATCCGAGCCCCTGGGTTATTGAGGCAAAATTTTGCCTCGGTTTTACTTTTATAGTCGTACTTGTTGAATCACAATATCGAGTAATAACAAAAGGGTCAATGGTCACAAGTTATAACAGCAGCTGTTATATGGACAATCCATTGAAAATTGTGGATTATTAATAAGAAGAGAATTATGTGTAAGGTATCAAGCTGATGTTGAGTCGGTATTCTCAGAAATTGGTCACCGCCTTATTTCCAGAAATATGTGTCGTCTTTTGTCTACAACTTCCTGTTTCTTTCTATGGTAATCAGTATGAATTAAACTACCGATTTGTTTGCTGTCGTTCAGATCGTCAAATTAAGTTACTGTACGGTAAAATTTTTCCTTTTATGTACTATTTTGTGTATTTATTCGACTTTATTAGTTTCGGTTTCATAATTAATTTTTCATAAGTTGATTTTTGTGAGTGTAAGAGAGTTTCTGTGCAATATGAGTGGATGGAAAGCGGAAGAGGGTAGTTGTAACTTTGGAAACAAAAGTGAATGCAATTAAGAGGTTGGACAAGGGTAAATCAATAAAGAAGGTTGCTTCAGATTTAGGTGTCGGAGATTGGAAGCGTAAGCGGAATGAAATCGAACAGTGGGTCAACCGAAGTGTGAATGGTGGTAGTGGATTGGCCCGGAAGATTATGAAGAAAGGGGACCATGAGCAAACTTCTGAGGCGTTGTTCTTGTGATTTTCACATATGAGAGGATTGGCAGTCCGATAAGTGGTCCAATACTCCAAGCAAAAGCTATTAAATTCCAGAAAAAGTTTATAGACGGAGGAGAAAACTTTTGTGCTAGTGAATGATGGATTGACTTATGGAAGAAGAAATATGGCATCCGACAATTGAATATTTGCTGCAAAAAACTTTCTGCTGACTCAACTAAAATTGGAACATTTTATTTAAAATTACAAGACGTTATCCTTAAAGATGGATTAACTTCAGACCAAATATTTAACTGTTATGAGACAGGCGTTAACTGTAAAGCGCTTCCACCGAAAACACTAGCTGCTAAAAATGAAGGAACTGCACCAGGTTACAAAAAAAGCAAAGAGAGAGTCACAATTATGATTTGCAACAATGCTTCTGGTTCATTCAAATTAAAACCCCTTAATTGGAAAATCCAGAAAGCCAATGGCATTCAAAAATGTCCAAATAAATTGCTTACCTACAATATATATCAACTAGTGCAATGCATGGATGGACTGTAATAAACAAAAATCTGCCCCGGAAAGCCTTGTTGTTGTTGGACAACGCACGATCCCACCCAAATGTGAGTGTATTGATTAGTGGTTACATACGAGCTATGTTCCTTCCACTCAATGTGACGTCTCTCATCTAACCCCTAGACCAAGGCGTTAAAAGGCGATAAAACAATGAAGAGGAATTATCGGCTGAAGCTTCTTCAGGTACTGCTAACTAAGCTAGCTGAAGGGCTGACTGTAATTGAGGCATTGAAGAAGATCACGGTTAAAGATGTTTGCTATTGCGTTGCATCTGCTCAGGACGACGTAAAAGTGTCCACTATTCAGAAGTCGTGAAAAAAATTATTTAAGATAGACAAAAACCATAAGATGTTCAAAATGAAACTGACTACTGCGAAGTTGATTCTATAGCCAACCTAGCCAATCAATTAAGAGTAGAACAAACAATCGGAAACATGATCGATTGAATGAATCTAAATAAAAAAATGGAACTGACAGATGATGCAATTGCCAATCTAGTTCTAAACATTACTCATGAAGAAGAAGATACTGATGAGATAACTCAAAAGATTTCTCATTCCGATGGATAAAAGTTCCTTGAATCACCTCTCGCATACATCGTGCAACAAGAAGAATCGACACCATTAGACGTCCTCCATTTTCAACGTTGGCGCAACATCGCCGCCTCAAAAAGAGGAATGAAGTTGAAACAAAAATCAATCAACAACTTTTTTAAACAGCAACACTTATAAGGTAATTTTTTTTATCTTTTATACTTTTATATTAGTTTTAAGTTATTAAAATAAACACATTAATCATTATTTACGTAGGTACACATTTTTCTATCAGTATAACCAATCTCAGTGCTAACCGAGTTTTTTCGGTATCCGAGGTAGTCACGGTCCCAATTGCCTCGGATAATCGCGAGTCTACTGTATTCGCTTTGGTTATTAGAAATTCAAGTGTAGTGTAGTAGCAGTTAGTGGAGAGGCAGTTGGGAATTTGGATTCGTAAGAAATAGCTTTCGGTGTGTAGTTCTTCAAAGCCTGCAATTTTGGCTTCTATTTGCCTTTGGCAAAATGATCCTATTTGGCTCAAGATGCTATTTGGCAGTCTTTCTCTTTTTTCCTCTTTCCTCTTTTTTTCTCTCTCCAGTTTCTTAATTTTTTCTTTTGCTGCGGTAATGTCCTTCTCTAATTGGCCTATTTGTTTAATAGCTTTTTCGTTTGTTTCTCGCATCTTTCTTATTTCATCTATGTAGTCGCTTTGTTGATCTTTTAGTTTTGTAATTTCTCTCTTTAGTTGCGTAATTTCGTCTCGTCATCTATATTGTTCTTTTTTTATGTCTTTTACATCCATTGCTAATTCTTTCATCATTTTCATCATTTGGTCGTTTCAACTTGTGTTTTCTTCTTCTCTTTTTTGTGGCGTTCTCAGTGTTTTTTTTTTGATCTCCTGGAGTAATATTCATCATCTTCTCTCCTCCTTTTTCCTTCATCAGTTAACTCCTCATCTGAATTCATTGTTCTTTATTTATAGTAATTTTCTGTGCTAGGGTTATTAGTCACTGCGTCACGGGTGCAGTTGCGTTGTTGCGAAACTCTACTCAATTCAAATTTCCGCCCACACCCGCGCTCGCTGCGTCCAATACTCCAACACTTTTATTCCTAAAACTCAGAAGTCGGCCCTGACTATATGTTTATATTGTTTGTATCAAAGCTACTATTATTACTATTAAAACTAAAATTCTGCTTGCTTACGATTTTCTACTAACCGACTAACCGATAAATATTTCTTATCTTTTTGTCACTTTGCCGAAATCTAATTTCCTTATCAATGCTACTTTCACTATTTTAATTAAATTACGTTTTTTTTTTTCAAAGTAGACGAATCGAAAGTTCTTTTTTATAAACACTTATTATCTATATTTTACTTTAATCACTTGTATTTATTATTTGACATCCGACACTGTGAAAAGGTCCGATATGCGAATTTATTTTCGTCGATGTCGTTGTCTGCAGGTGTGTTCGCTTTGGCTGCTAAACCTAAACTCCCCTTAACATAAATATGACAGTAAAAACTACCTAAGATGTAAGATTTTTGAGTTATGATTTAAAAAATAAAAAACTTGATGAAATGAATATTTTAATAAAACTTTTTTAAAACAGTCATTTGAATTAATCTTCTTCACTGGAATTTAGTAGACATTAAATAAAGAATAAACCAAAGGTAATCTTTAATCAGCAAACCTACCAATTTAAACCTATATAGTTGTAAATTTTTTTGTTCCTCTGAGCAATATCTATTTTTAGATGGCCCTCTATATGAGAATTTCACTGTCGTTTCTCAACCTTTTGATTTTCTAGAAAATGCTAAAGGTATGGAACTGCTATAAAAGCGGCTAGCCAGTATTCACAATCTCAGTATTGGTATAGTGTGGATAGTGGTATTACATCGAAAAGCGAAAGTGTGTGGAATAAAGTTAGTTGATGCTTGTAAAGAACATTTTCGAACTAAGTGTGTAGGATAGTACAAAAATGTAAAAAGTCAAGAAATGTGGTTGTGTTAACCCGCAGATAGTTTTTGCTACATATGTGGTCAGTTTGCACCTAAATCACAGAAAAGGACAATTAATAAGCTGACAAAAGTAGCTTACCATAAGTATTTCGATATATTATTGGCAATTAAGATCTGGACTAGGCACCTCACATATGTTGCCAAACCTGTGCAACAAATCTAAGTAATTGGTTTAATGGAAAACACAAGCTATATTACTTTTTGACTTAACTCTAATTATGAATAGTAGTATTAACTGTTGATGTTATCACTATCAAATTTCAAATTTAACCCCCTCTGTGGCTCAGTGGTAAGAGCGCCTACCTTTTAACCTAAAGGTTGTGAGTTTGAATCTCATCTGGGTGGAGAAATTTTCGTTTATTAAAAATTAATGAATGAAAATAATTTCTATCCTTGTGCGATCGGTACTCACCGGAGGGACCGCAGACGTTCGGATACAATTAGCGTCTCTTAGCAAAGACAATGACGTCGACTTTGCTAAGTATCAAAACAAGTTGTCGAGGCATTAACTCAATAATAATAAAAAAAAATTCAAATTTAATTGTAATTTACATAAAGTTTTTGCATTATAGTTATTCTGCTATAGCCATAATTCTTCTGAATCGTTCATGACATGTAGCCTTGTTTATACCAGTTATTATAAAATTATAATCCAAGGAATAATTGGCTTAGTTTATTATAATACCTTTTCTGTTTATACCACTTCTTATTACACTCTCCAGCGGAAAGTAAAATAGGATCTTAGATAGAAGATCACCTTGTGCTAATCCTGTTTATGTTCCAAGAAATTAAATTAAAACCATTCACTAGGAACATATTAAAAACCCTTGAAAATTGTATCACATTAGAACAGTATTAAGACATTTCAACAAAAACGATGTGATAAACCGCGTAAATTTAAATAGTTTACTATGTAAAATAGACTTACCTTCAAAGCGAAATAAGTTAGTCTTATGTCGCTTGCTGATAACTCGGCAATTTAAAATTGATTGATATTAAAACACAACAAAAACACCTTCAATCTCTATTCTCTATACCACCAAATGTCAAATGGTCACGACTCACTGACATGGAAACAAATGTTCAACTTGACAAATGACAAATGAAAATAATTCCGTTATGAGGACCCGCAAAGTGGGCGACGCCTGGTGGTAGACTCCAAAAGCATCCACTTCGGGCAAACTTTGAAATTGTCATTAATTTGTATATTATACATATTAGCAACCGGTTTAATTGTAATTAACAATGACTTCGACTTCAAAAACTATTGCAGTGTTCCTCAATGTTCATCCTATTGTAATTCACAAAAAATTACATACAATTTAGTACATAAGTTTCCGCTGGACGAGAATATGAGGAATGTTTGGCAATGCATTTTGCGAATTGGCAAACCTATAACCAATGTACATGACTGTGTGAGTTTACATTTTACTGAGAACAATTACTTTACAAGTGTTGATTAAAATATTATTTATATTTTAATATATTTATACTTAATTTACTTTATAGTAGCTCCTGAAAGTAAATTGAGAAGACTCAGGAAAAATGCTGTTCCATCAGCAGAATTGGCCCAACGGTCTCATGAAGTTATTAGTAGAAAACGTAAGGCGTAATTTACAAAATATAACGTGGCCAGCTCCAAAAACTGCTTACCCTCAACTAAAAATCTCTGCCGATCTTGCAACCATATAAACAATTAAGATAATGTAAATTTTACTTCCCGTGTTACAGACATACTGTAGAAAAAAAACATTTAATTTTATTTTTATTCAGGTTTGGGAGTCAATTACCTTATGTATAAACTCGAATCACAAACAAATAAACTTTGAATAACGTACTACAACTTTTACTTTGGCAAAACACACGTGTAAATGATTTATATTAAAACGTTTTATAACTTAAAGATCAAATGACAAAATGATTTGTTTTCCCGAAGTTATCGTCCATCTTTGAAATCTTCAGCGCCCCCTGTCGGAATTGGCTATCGCGAATAGTATATTTCACTGATATTTTAGTAATTTTCAATTTTCAGTCCCATAGATTAAGTATATATCAGTCCACAATACATATACCCATGCATCAGTCTATCCATAGATAAAGAATATAATATATTACCGGAGTAGTCCATCATACCATACCGGCATACTCATAGATAAATAATATAATAGTAGAAATAGATAGGCAACTCAATGTATAAATTTCGTTCATTAGGCCCCTTGCGGCTGGGGTCAATACTAATCATCTTTTGGCGGCAAATTCGAATGAACACCCCTTACATACATACCCTTTAGCGCCTCTTGTGGGCTATTTCGTTACTAATTAAAATTTATTGGAAAATAAGGATATAAGATGCACAATTTTTTCTAGATATACGTATATTTATTTGTTGTTTAAGATAAAACAGTTATAAAATAATTACATAATATTTATTACACATATTTGCAGAAGTTAAATACTATTATTTTTTGCTTTCTGACAACTTACTATCATTCTTTTTGTAATTTTTCCATGATTTGTACACAACGAACAATACAATAATTCACCATGTTTAGTTTTGTTACTAGCACAACACAAAAATTCTTTGCTACAATAGGTAACTCAAAATAAACTTTAAAAATTAAGTAACCAAATTTAAATTAAAATTACTAAGAATAAATGCAAACGAAAGTTAAAGATAATAAAATAAAATTGAAAACTTGTAAACAAACGGAAGATCTGTCATTAATTTGGATTGACAGAATTGACATTGCTTCGTTCGATTATGTTATTTGGTTTATGATTGGTTAAAGTCTTCGTGAGAGAGATAGGCTGTCATTTCTCTTTATTAACTCGCTGGGGTCAAAGCATCGAGCAATAAGACAAAAGAGGGAATGTAAAGGTAGAAGGGGTAAACATATTGATAGACAGGAAGTGCCATCTTGAGAGGCCACTTTAGACAAGGATAGACAGTCTCTTTCCTTGTTTAAGAAGTCAAATTTAGTTTGGTTATGTTATTGTTTGTTCCAACTGTCACATGAAATTTTATTTAAATTGAAGTTTTTTACCAATTATGTCACTTTTTAGACTATTATCGTTAATATTTAATTAAAACTTTCTAGTCTGAAAAATATTTTATAGCTATTGTTAACAAATGTTGGAAAATTTAAATTTAGCGCCTTTGCATTTCCGGATGTGTCCGCCATCAGAGGCCACTTTTTTGGTCTCCTTTTTATAAGGATTAGATTCCCTCTTTTGTCTTATTGCTCGATGGGTCAAAGTGATGGGGGAATGAACCAAGTCGTTCATATAAGATTCCAGGCCATGGGCATACTTTAATCAATGGAGCGCAGGAGTGTGACCATAGAGAAATAACCATAATCTCTACTTATAAATACTTAATCTATGGAAATAACAACTTATTTGTTATTTCTCTATGAGTGTGACGTCACGACTGTCACATTGTCATTATTACCACAGAATACTAATCACAACAAGAAGCGAAACGGAGGGCTTTTTCGCAATCCAAATTTCTTTGCGCATGTGCGAAATCGGCCGTAGTAGTGTTGTTTATATATTAATTTGAGAAGTGTTATTGTATTGAGAAGTTATTTAGTTAGTTAATTTAATATATTTGTGTAATAAACTTATTGTGATGGCTGCACGCAAGGGAGCATTTTATTGTGTTGTTCGTGGGTGCCCATCGAAAACTGGGGAAGGAATTAGTCTCTTTTCAATACCGACTGATCGTAGCAGGTAAACAAATTAAATTTTAAATTCAAACGTATTACAAATGTTGTCTGAATGTTTATATTTTAGTTAAATACACTTTTTTTAGAGCTGAGTTATGGCTGAAAGCGGCCAATAGGTATGATCTGCTTTACAAAGGTGCTGAATTGCATACTAATTATAGAATCTGCGAGAAACATTTTGAACCGGTGTACATGTACAAAGGAAACACACGGAAGTATTTATTTCAACAAGCACATCCAACGATTTTCTCACACAGCCAATATTCAAAACACACAGACGAACCATTAAAGAAAGTCATAAGGCTGGAAGGTAGATACTTTTTATTTATTCACAATTATAGTGCTTTATTATAAAAGTCATATAAAAATCAGTATCTACTTACAACTATATACAAAGTTGTTTGTTGTTTTTCATAATATAAACAAGATCTGGAATTGTGAAATTAAATTAAATTGAGTAAATTAATGATCTTTTATCAGCCTTATTAAGAACATAATATATCTTAAGGTTGTGATTAGTGTTCTGTGTTATTACTTTCCAAACAAACATTGAAATGTCAAATCTCAAGACTTTTTAATTTCTATAAAGTTAACATTTTGCTTCCTCTGCTGCTTTTTCTTGTAAGTATAGTGTTTTTTACGATAATACCATCATAATTCAGAGTTCTATTTCTATGAAATATAGTTTAAAAGTTCTGAAACTGAGAAATTCTAACCTTACTTTATTGATACATGCATTTTATTGCTATTAGCATAAAACAATGTGCTTTATTATTTACACAACCTTGTAAAATTGTTGTAGTAACTATTAGAATACTTTAAATATTGCAAAAAGCGGAAAGATTCTATAAAATAAATGAAAAAATAACGAAAAATACAAATTATCCACACTAAACAGGGTTTGTTTGGAAAGTGAAACTGACAGATGTCAATAAAATCTGTCACTTTTTTGGTATAAAGTGTAGGCACAGAATAATAAACAATCAGAAGGGACACTCTCAGATGCCGCCTTTGAAGTTTTTCAGCACGCGCGCCATGTTTGAGGAGGACACAGACATATGATTTGTGTGGTTATGTAATTGTTTATATTTATGTTTAATTATATTATATTTATGTTATTATATTTAACAATGTTAATATAATTGTGTAGTATGTCTATGATTGCTGTAAGTCAATTAAACCTGGTTAATTTTTCCATGCACACCACATAATTTCTTTAAAATCCTCCTAAAACATGGCGGAACGTCTGCGCGGAGGAGATGCGCGTACTTAATTTTCCGTGGAGAGTGGGTATTCTGTATGTTTATTATTCTGTGGTGTAGGAGTGTTTAAAATAGAAAGATACTTTGAGGAAATTTTATGTTTTAAAAAACTTATGCAGAAGTAAAATGCTTCACATTTGTATTTAGGTATATCCTAAGGTAAATGTGAAGTGTTTTACTTCTGTAAAATGTAAAAATGTACAAGCCACAATTTTTCATATTAAAAAGCATTCATAAAATAATATTTTTTACTTTAAAAATAGCTAAATATTTAGTGTATTCTTTTGTTTAACCTAATTTTTTTTTCATTTAACTTTACTTTATTGTGTAGTTTATAAAGTTTCTAAACTATTAATTTTTACCTTAAGCATAATTTTAATGGTTTTTATTATATAAGTATTTTTAAAGGTAGAAATGCAAGATATAATTTTATTTTATAATATTTATAGGTATAATTTTAATGAATTATATATGTATTTTTCAATTTTACATTTTTATTTCATATAGATAATATAAATCTTGCCAATAATTTTATATGTGAGAGTGGGAAATATTTGAGTATATGGCAACACTGACGTATATTAAGCTTACATTTAATGTCAAAAACATATTAACAAGATTTGTAAACAAGGTTATGTTCATCGTTCATTGCACTGCACCTTGCACCAATATTGAAGAAAACCACCATACCATACAACTAATTACTGTATATGCCCGTTGTTGATATTGATATTGATCACCGAGTTGTTTTAGTTATGGAATCTAACTTTGAAATTAAGGAAGAATTTGTTGAAAGTGATCAAAGACTCATAGAGAATCAGCTATCTACATCAACTGATCCTGGAGACTTAAAGAATGGACCACAAGGAAACTCAGGTAAGACAAATAGTGATTAGTTCTAATAAACGAGATGTAATTCGTATTTTTTATTAGCTAGGGCTGTAAAAACTGAAATTAAGGATGAGTTTGTTGAAGATGATCCAAGATATGTAGAGAGTCAAATATCCACCTCCCTTGATATGACAGACTTGAAGAATGAACCAGATGACTATAGCTCAGGTAGCATACCTAAGTAATATTAAAGAATATAGACGCTGTAATATTATAGTACTAAAAACTTTGATGAAATTAAAGTTTTTTTAGATAAGGCTATAAAATCTGAAATAAAGGAAGAGTTTGTTGAAGATGATCCAAGATATCTAGAGAGTCAAATATCCACCTCCCTTGATATGAGAGACTTGAAGAATGAACCAGATGACTATAACTCAGGTAGCATACCTAAGTAATATCAAAGAATATAGACGCTGTAATAGTATAGTACTAAAAACTTTGATGAAATTAAAATTTTTTTAGATAAGGCTGTAAAATCTGAAATAAAGGAAGAGTTTGTTGAAGATGATCCAAGATATATAGAGAGTCAGCTATCCACCTCTCTTGATCTTGGAGACTTAAAGAATGAAGATACCTCAGGTGAGATAAATAATAAAAAAATGCAGAGGAACTTATGTTTATAGCATTGAGGTATTTCATATATCAAAACCTGATTTTTCTTTATGTATATTAGTTGATGTTTTCATTTGTTCCTTTTATGAAACTTAAGTTGTTACTCGTATAGGGATATGCATTAGAAATATGAAATATCGATATGTAAATCAGTGAATTCTGCTTCAGATAGAAATTATTGTTAAGTGTTTCCATAGTCATGATACTATAACAAATACATAAGATGCTCTTGTAGACACATATTTGCCAAGGCTTGCATCATGTTACTTGATCCTATTTTATTTTGAAATTTTGGGCAATGATTAGTTTAAAGCAATCAACATAACCAATAATATTTTCCTCAAAGCATGGCGTCACAGTGTTGCCATATTTTTTTGTAAAACATGTATATGAATGTTTAAAATATAAAGTTATTTTTACAAAATTATAATTTGTATTATGATAAGCTACAAATTTTAAATAAGCTTGTTTGCAAATTTGCTGCTGTTTGAGATAAGTATGTCTTTTAGGTTGTTACCAAGATTGTATTTTCTTCTGACCGCTAGGTAGTATTGACAGTCAAGAAGAACATGTGTTACGGAAGTTGTGATGTTGGTGTAACATGTGTAAGGCATGTGTGTTGTATTCTCAAATGATAGATTTACCCTTTCTTTTCATTGGTGGGAACTGGTGGTAAAAAATATTTATTTATTTATATATGTCATCCATTTACTTACAATTTTTAGAAAGTTACATCTTAAAAACAATATATTATTAAAATAACAATCACAAGTTTTACAAAGTTACACTGTAACAACAATAAATTATTAAAATAACAAACACCTCAGAATAATACAAACATATAAGAATAATAATACAGATGTACAGTTGTTTTTTAAACAAACTAATTTTGGAGTCAAAAATATCTATTTGTCTTGGCAGGCTATTAGCACTCAGGACCAATCGTGTAGTTGGTTCATTGATACCATAATTATTAGTGTGGTGAAATGTCACCGAAAAGATTTCTGATTGTCTGTTGCTTCTACTAGGAACTTTAAGACTAACAAGCGATAAGAGTTGAGGACAATCTATAAAAGCATTGATTACTTTGTGTAAGAAACATACATCTAACAATGTCCTTTGACTCAAGTGTTGGTAAGTTAAGACTATCTCTTACCCACTGATAGTTGTATTCCTCTCTCCTGTATCCACTCTTATAGGCTGCTACCCTCAAAAATTTATTCTGGACTCTTTCAAACTGTTGAATGTAACAGTGGTATGATGGGGCCATACAACTGATCCAAACTCAAGAATGGGCCTAACGAGACCACAATAAAATCTTTTAAATGTAAATAAAGACAGATCCACAGATGTGCGTTGGATAACTCCCAGCACTTTTATCGCTCTGTTTGTTACTTGGTTTATGTGGCTTGAGAATGACAGTTTGGTGTCTAACCAGATTCCCAAATCTAATACTTCATTTTTCGAGGCTAATGGCAAGTTATTTATGTAGTAAACAAATGTAATTGGATTTCTTTGCCTCGAGAATGTCATTTTATGACATTTGTTTATATTGAGTGACATTTTGTTTAAAGTGCACCAATAACCCCCTCTGTGGCTCAGTGGTAAGAGCGCCTGCCTTTAAATCTAAAGGTCGTGAGTTCGAATCCCACCTGGGTGGAAATTTTCGTTTATTAAAAAAATTAATAAATGAAAATAATTTCTATCCTTGTGTGATCGGTACACACCGGAGGGACCGCAGACGTTCGGATACAATTAGCGTCTCTTAGCAAAGACAATGACGTCGACTTTGCTAAGTATCAAGACAATTACTCTACACACACACACACACTACACCTCAAATTGTAAGATTGGCGAATGGATTTAGTGTCCGCAGTCATTTAAACACAAACAAACAACAACAACAAAGTGCACCAATCATTAAACAATTTAAGATTTTCCTGTAATATAACAGCATCATTCCAGGATTGAATTTTTCTAAACAATTTTACATCGTCAGCAAACATAAGAACACTACAATTTTTATTTGTTGTACTAAATCAACCAGAAACAAGCAAAACAAAACAGGGCCACAATGGGAGCCTTGTGACACGCCTGATGGAACTGTTATTTCAGTTGAAGTGTCACTTCCCAAGTTAACTGTCTGCATACAGCCACTAACAAATTCTGTAATCCACCGAAGAAGGATATCCAAAATACCCAAAGCTCTTAGTCTTTGTAACAGGACCCCATGGTTTACCCGATCAAATGCTTTGGAAAAGTCAGTATAGATTGAGTCAACCTGACAACCCTCTTCAAAGCTGTTATATATATGATTGACATACAAAACCAGCTTGGTATCTGTTGACCTCCCTCTCATAAAGCCAAATTGTTCAGGATTAAAAATGCCTCTAAAACTCCATATCAGTTTTAACATCAAAATTTTCTTTGCACACTAGTTCAAAACTGATAGCTGTATGATTTAAACAATTCTCAAAAATTTTATCTGCTGCTGGAGTAACATTAATAGATTCCAAATTACTAAAAACCAGGTCCAATGGTGCTTTGCTGTTCAAAATATCATTCTTTTGAAAGAAGTTATAGAAACTAAAGCAATTTGGTACAATACTTACAGAGTCATTTCCAGTGCCCGTCACTATCAATCCCAACTCATCATTGCCCCATTTAGCTTGTGGTAGGTTGTAATCACCTGCCAAGACAAACAAACTATCTGAAAAATTAGTGTAAACATATTCAACAGTTTCACAATGTCTTAAATAAGACTGAGAAGGTGATGGAGAAGGTATATATACACAGCCAATAACAAAATTTTGAGTTTTGATTTTAAATGTTAGGTATAACTGATATATGTCAGAGTCAACAAGAGGAACTACGATTTTTTTAAGTAAAAAGGCTCTTTTTAGCTGCGATTAATACACCACCTCCACGTGTCTTTAGAATGTTTAACCCTAATTCACGATCACATCTATAAATGTCATACTCTGAAACTCCCCTTTGGTTGTAGAACGCTTAACTTAGTATTGCTTTTTCCCAATGATCATTCCACAGGTCCATTATTGTATGTTTGAGTGTTCTTTTTAGATCTGATGATGTTTTATTGTCTGTTGCTATGTTAAGAGAACATGCTTGTTTGGCTGCTTGATCAGCATTTTCGTTACGTGGAATACCAATGTGTGATGGGACCGACAATATTGTTACTGTAATTCCATTAATTTGAAGATGATTACATATACTTTGGATTTCTTGAACTATTGGGTGGATAGAATGTATGTTTCTTATGGACTGAATGGAGGACAGAGAGTCCCCACAGATTGCTATAGTTTTATCATGGTTGAGTGGAGTTTTCACTGCTTGTAGTATTCCATATAGTTCAGCAGTGTAAACTGTGGTTTGTGGTTGTGTGTTGTGAGGAAGTTTTGCCATTATTAATTATTTTAAAGGATCGCTCTGTGAGAAATTTTTTTATAAACGAATATATATTACCAGATAGCTTGTTCTGGTGTAGTTTGTTTAGTATCACAGAAATCGGTATATAGTCAAAAACGCTTTCGATGTCAAAAATAAAAGATTAATTAAAGTGCCTGATGTCAGAATTTCCCTGGATCAAACAAAAGCCCAGCAAGAGTATTTCAAGAAAACCAAATTACAATTAGATGATATGGTTAAGAAAGGTGATAATTCTAAAACAATCAAATTCATTAATGATAAGCCTACAATAGTGAAAAAAACTACTTACCAGCCAAAAAACTGAGAAGTAATCTAAAATGTTACTTTCATAATGGTGGTGGACTTCTAACTAAATTCTCTCAGTTAAGGGACTCTTTGCTAATAAATGATTATGATATTGTTATTTTGATTGAATCGTGGCTATCTGAAAAGTTTTTGGTTAGTGAGACTGATCTATTAAACTATAATGTTTGGACATTGTGGGCGGAGGAGTGTATATTGCAATCAAGAAAAACCTACCCTCTAAACTAATATGTAAGTCAAATTTGTTTAACATAGAACAACTTTTTGTGGAATTTAAACTGAATTATGATCAGCTTATAATAGGAGATATCTATATACCACCTAGTTCATTAGCTGAGGCATATGAATATCACTGCACCTTTCTTGAGGAACTGATAAGTCAACATCCACAGAGTTCTGTGATCTTGGCTGGCGATTACAACTTGAGAGATGATCAATGGGCTAATGATCAAAACGCGGTTTATTTATCTATCATACTTCCTGATGGCTCTCATGCGAATACGGTATGTGGATCTTTTGCATTTTTAAATCTCTATCAGTGCAATAATATACCAAACAGACATGGAACATTCCTGGATCTCATTTTTTCACATATACCTGATCTAAATGTGTGTATGCCGGTCGATCCATTGTTTTGTGAATCATTCAGGCATAAGCCGTATGAATTTTTTATCCCTATTGGTTATTTTAAAGAGTCGGTTTTTTATGAAGACTATGTTTATGATTTCAAAAACTGTAATTTTAATTCTGTTAACCTTTATCTATCTTCAGTTAATTGGGATGCATTATACCATTGTAATAATATAAATGAGGCTTGTCAAATATTTTACAGCTATATGTATCAGTGTTTAGATATTTTTGTTCCTATGAAGGCTGTCAAGTGTTCCTACAAGTTCCCAATTTGGTTCTCAATAAAACTTAAAGATCTTATTATTCAAAAGAAAAAAGCTCATCTGAGGTTTAAATTATCTAAATCAAACGAGGACTACTTATTGTTCTATAATCTGTGTGATCAATGTAAAGTTGAACATACACTTTGTCAGAAATAACACTTTTCATCTCTTGAAAAAAAATTTAGTAATAACCCCAGGGAATTTTGGGGATACATTGGCAGACTTCTTAAATCGTCGAGTTATCCCCAAGAAATGTATCTTGGTAACAGAAGGGCACAGGGCAATATCGAAATTGCTAACCTTTTTGCTGAATTCTTCTCTGGT